CGCCGGATACGGCATTGCCAGAGGGCCGATGTGGTATTACCCGGTCGCAGGTGCCGCTAATGGGTATCGTTTGGACGCCGTCAATACGGGATTGCGGCGATACCGATCGGCCTACAAGGATGGAATGGCGCGGCTGGTGACCGACAAGTCAGGTCGGCCCGGTCGGCGCGTCCCAGCCGAGTCAGGGGGCAATAGCCGTTTTCACGAGGGGCAATCTAGCGAACGCACTAAGTTGACCAAATCTGCACCAAATATCTTTCATAACAAGTATATCATGAATTTATTTCAGTGGTTTAATCGTAAATAATGTCTGATAATTTGAAAAATAAGGCATATAAGCATCTGTGCAACCCAAACTGATAACTTTTAAAAAACGCAATGAACCTAACTTGAACAAATTTGCACCTAATCTACACTAAATATGTACCAGGCATGGCCATCGTGAAAATGGCTAATATGTGGCAAACAGACCGGCTAGCGCGAAAGCGGGAATAGATGTTTTCATATGTGAACCTTTGAAATTCTAGTTTTCCAACAAGTCATAACAAAAAGAGAAATAACCGAAGGTTTGTTGTCAATAGTTGAAACACTATTCTTCAGAATTGTGTTTTTCTATTGAAAAACAAATCTGAGTTCCCTGACAATTTGGCAAAAGCTGCCTGAGATCAGTACAACTTGATGCTCGAGAAAACAGTTGTTCCAAAAATTCTGATTTTTTTCAGGATTTCTAGTGTATAAAACAGCTCCCTCAGTAAGTTATGCAGGTTAAACATTTCTTCCATAACCCGGCGGCCGCTGGGCCTCCGCGCCACCCACCGGCCGCTGGGGGGGGGGGGGCATATAGTTGCCCCCCTTTACTTCTGCGACGATATCGTCGTAACGCGAAGAGATAGAGAAGCGAAACTTTGCACACATCTTCCTGAATACCTAGCCGAGGTTGCGTCCAAATTTGGTGTCAATCCCATTTGAAATGACCTCACAGTGACGTCATAAGTAAAATTATAGATTTGCGACTCTCATATTCCTCACGATACATCAGATATATGGGACCGAATATAAAGGGTCGATTATTGGTCAGAAACTAGATGGAAGTTTAGTTAGATGTTTAATTAAGGATGACAGCAGGTGCTGTCTAGTTCATTTACAGTTGAGTTTCATGCTCAGCGTCATCAGAAACGGTCCATATCGGAAAACGACAAAACTTTATGACGTCACTGTGACGTCATCTTAGGTGCTACAACCACCAAACTTTCCTCAAACATTGCCTAAGTATTTATTTGAAGCTATGCCAAGTTTCACGTTCGTAGCTCATCAGGTTTCGGAGATATTTCACAAAACGTAAAGGGGGGTAACTTTATGCCCCCCCCCCAGCGGCTCGTGGGATAAGCAGTGTCGCAATCGTCACAGCCATGACCGGCGGCGGGGGTGGGTCGGGCAGTGCAGTCGACTGCGTCACGGATCCCACACAAACAATCGGTCATTGTGTCCGTCTGTGTCCCGCCGCCGTTCACAGGAAGGGCGGCACCAGAGGCGGTGGGCGGGTCACAGGACGAAGGCCGCCACAGGACAAATGCCGACGGTCGGCTGGGCAGGCAGTCCAACTCCAGACCTTCTCTGAATGTCTGTGACGGATGAACAGGCATTTCTGTATATCTGCGGAGCGTGATTGGACGCTCCCTGTGTATCTGGTGCGGGTGACCAGATCAGTTCCAATCACTACGTCATGTCGCAGCCGTTCATAGAACGGATATGACAGCGCTCGGCGCGGCTGCTGGTAGCCCTTTGAACGTTGATGTCACTTCCAAAGTTCCAGTGACTATTGCAAAGCGTCACTCGGGCTGGACGTTTGAATGAAAGAGCTTTGAAATAAACAAGTGCGGCCTGCCTTCTACTTCCATGGTGCACCGAAAACCCAACAGGGATTCGACAATATCTTTTGTTGTAGGTAGTTAGATCATTACGAAACAAAAGCGACACATGTTTTATCGACAGCTCATCAGTTTGAAGCGAATTCCCGAATTTCGGTAAAGCGTGACCTCAAAAAAGCGCAAGTGCTAGCAGCAGACGCAGTCGTGGATAATGTATTTCCTCGCATAGAGATAACCTGCGTTCGCACATTTTTGAAACGTTTATGAAAGTGCACTGTCACGACGTCCATTAAAGTTAACTAAGCGTGAGGCGGGCATACACAATGCATCACCAGAGGAAGGTGTACCGTGTTATGGATCGTTACAATATCCGTAGAAAAGCAGATATACTTTTGTGTACCTACCACTGTAAGTGTACAAGGCTGTCGTTTTATATTACACATCGTTAACCATTCAGTACTCGGCTAAGGTGACACACTGCTGAAATATGATACACATCAGCAGCCATGAAGACACGCCGTATGCTTTTGTCACGAGTCTTCTAATCGTCAGGCCGTCATTGACGACTGGTTAATGTCAAATGGCATCGTTAGTGCCTGCTCTACTGTCCGTGTCCTGGCGCTCGGGTACATTTTATTTATCAAGTCGTGCTGCACAGTGCATATGAGGCCTTCTGCATGGGAGGGCTGAGGCTTATCAGAAGTTCTCCAGAATCGGTGAAGTTATTGGAGAGTGTCCCTTTATTATTATTATTACTATTATTATGTCAAACATCCACCAACCACAGAACAGTGGGCACTACGGTGGCATAGCACAAACAGACGCACACATGCATACAATTTCACACTATTTCACACATTTTCACAATTTCACAATTTCACAATTTCACAATTTCACACATTTCACTTTAAGGTCAATCGGTAGTCTCGGTAGCAGATAGTTACTCTTGGGGTTGTCAAGGGGTCGACCAGCAAATGAATTGTACCTAAAAAGTACCATAAATCGGAGAGCGGAAATGATAGCTCTTTGATGGCCGGCAATTTGTGCATGGTTACGGAGCGAGCGAAGCGAGCGGAGTCTTTCCTTAGATTAACGGAAATTTCTGAGTATGAGCGGCCGGCCGGCCGGCCGGCCGTGCGGACGCTTTTGCGAGGCTTATATCTCAGCAACCACTTGACCGATTTACACGCGGTAATTTTTGTAGGGTAGCTTCATTCCTTCTACCAAGTATTGTACTATTCCCGATGCATGTGGGTGACCCCTTATGCACGTGCCACGTGCAAAACGAAGAGGTGCCAGTTTTGTAATTGTTGCAATATCTCGGTAACTACTTGGCCGATTGCGCTCAAAGTTGGCATGTAGGTAGGCACCCACTAGGCACTGCATATCCATGTGCCAGAGTTGGGGTGCTGCTGCACGTGCGCACGTGCAGGGGTCGTTTCCAGATCTCGAGAACGGCTGGACCGATGGCGCTCAAATTTGATACACGGTTAGGGACCAGTTAGTAGGGTGCCGTGCACAAGTCAGTTGGGACCCATTTTGCACGTGCGCACGTGCAGGGTGCCGCTCCCAGATCTCGAGAACGGCTGGGCCGATTGTGCTTAAATTTGGCACATCGCTAGAAACCGGTCAGTAGGGTGCCGTGCACAAGTCAGTTGGAGGTACCCCCCCCCCCGAAATTTTGCACGTGCAAGACTCACCCCCTCGCTCGCTCCGTTAGTCGCCCCAAAAGGCGCTATACTGGTAGTGTATAAAAATTTGTGTTTGACGCACGATTTTTTAAATAGAGAAGCATGTGGTTGTGTCTACTGGGTATTGAATTAAGCACTTTCTGTCCAATGGGACTATTTCAGCCGTGGAATAATCAAAAACAGCCTTCAGGCTGACTTCCCACACCAAACGGTCACTTCGCCGCACGTAAGCCCGCCCCGATGAAGCCACTGTTCGGATGATGGCGACCGTCCAACCCAGAGCAGGGAAATTGAGGTACCTATTGATGAAAATAATAACAGATGTACGGAGTGCGCTTCCTGAGGATGGATCAGAGGGTTCAGAGGAAAAAAATGAAATATGTAAAACAATTAAAACTCTCCCGAATGCTTCAACTAGAATAATACGCATAGGAAAACATCACGGACTCTTTCATTCACCGTTCCGTGCTTCTATCCTCAGGATACTGAAATCCTTCTCCCCCACACCGCAATCCTCTCCGGGCTGGACAGGCAACTTTATCTCATGCGGACTGCTCCCTTGGAGCGGCACCGCTGCTCCCGAGGGAGCGCACCCCGTAGCCGGGTGCAGTGAGTGTCTTGGGGCTGGGTGGCCTGTCCTCTGGTCGGGCTCAGCCCCGGCGACTCACTAGGGTGCCTGCCCAGACCAATGTCTCCCCCTATATCCTATTATCCTCCCGGCTCTGAAATGGTCTAATTGGACCGAAAGGGCCTAACCCAACAAAACAAACAAACAAACGAACTCTTTCATTGCTACAAAAAAGCCTTTTCACCATTTCGTGGAGAATGGGAGACAGTGTATTCCTTTCTCTCAGTTATCCACGAGTGATAAATCAATAAGCCCGGACGACAGGGACGACGTGCGCCGTGCACCTCCGCCGTTCTGCGACGAACTATCGGCACCCTCAGCGCCCTCTTCGCCTGTGGTCGTTTCTGGTACTAACAGTTCGCCGTACCCCTGCGGCGCGGCAGCACCGCTGATGGTCGGGTAAGGGAAGAGTACTGAGGAAGGAGGATGAGCCCGAGGGAAAGAGCGGACCTGGACCGCCAGCCACGACGCTGCAAATGGGACGGAGTTATGCACATAGAACACACATCTAAATGGTCATAAAATGAAATGCAAACAGCCACATAAAACTTTCGTTACGGTTATCACAAGAGTCGTCAGCGGACCTAGCAAAAACAAAAACTCTACCACTTCAATCATCTAGCTTTTAGTGGTAAACCCTAGATTGTTGATTGAGAAAGACACACAGCAGTGCCATGCTATTACGTCCGAACAGATTTTAATTGACCCATATCTTGACGGAATGAATTACTCGTATCATGACTATCACCTAATTTAGCAAAAGACCAAGCGGAACACTAGCTTGAATTCGGTGACCCCTCGTCGGGGACTGACCTCGAATTGTCCCCCGATGATGCCGCCCGCCTGGCCGATGAATAGGGTCGAGGCAGGGTCGAAGATCAGCTCGAGCGGCACCCGGGGCGCGTACGCGGACGAGTGCTTGGTGCAGTTCAGGTAGAGGGTGACCTCAGAGTCGGTCACCTGTAGCGCCAGCTTGGTCCACTCGTCCTGAGCGAGAGAGAAAGGGTGAGGGAGTGCAGGGTGTCTGAGACATAGGTGGAAACGCGGAGCCTGGCACCATATAGATCTTATAATATTATAAGATTTCTATGCCTGGCCCACCAAACGCTGCGCCTATTTGGTCAGAAGTAGAACCGTTCGTCACCGCTTTAAAAACACATGTTAGGTTAGATAGGACACCTCCATATCTTGGATAGCTCGCGCCCGGGTAGACCTCTCAGCCAATTCGTCATAGTGGGGTGGGGGTGGGGTGGGGGTATTTGGCCACACCAGGTCATCTTGGAATGTAAGAAAGATAGAAAGACGTGGTAAAAGGTGACATCACTCGCTAAAAGATATTTCGCGATCATTTAGGTTACTTTTCGATCTGGTCATCACTAAGGTCACTGGAGATCTCCTGAAGTAAAATTATCATGACTTTCGGTTCACGACCTAAACAACATTCAAAAATCGGCGCATTACTTGAGAACCAACACAGCTGCAGCGCCGCGGAAACGCGCATTCGATAGCTTTTTCAAAGTTTTTTTTTTCAAACAATGCTCTCAGATTTGACGGAAGTTCAGCCTCCAGAGCGCAAAATCTCTCAAAATTGGACGTTTTGCCGAAAACGTTTTTTTCTGCAATGAAAAGGTCATACTGCATACCAGTGTATTGTTATCATTGAGCTGAACGCATCCATGGTGTTTTCAGTGTTCTAGCATGTTTCTAAGGTTACTGTAAAAAAACTGCTAAGAGACGTTTCATGACCTGATGTGACCTCAGGGGCATAGAGGGGTCACTGGTGCCGAATTTAAATTCCGTGCGTCAAAATTTCACACGGAATTAAAAAATGGGAGCATGCGGCTACCCCAGAATTTCACCTTTGACCTGATACCTACTGATCCGGAAAATGACCTCAATCATAAAATCTTAAGAATGCTTTGGGAAGATCTCGTGCAGAACCTTGTTTCGAAGGGCTTGATATGGCCATCGGCTCTTGAGATAACGGGGGGTCCGGATCCGACCCCATCCCCCCAGGTGGTCGTGTGTACGAAAACGGAAAGGGTCCTAGCGATGCCAGGTCAAATAGGACGAGAAAATAAGTAAAGCTCATGATATCAACTGTTTACTGATTGCCATCCGGTCTGTCTGAAAGGGGTCATTGAAAATAACCGAAATATGTGCAGGAACATCAGCGCAGACTGGCTGGTATTTGTAGCAGCTACGTCACACTTTCAGGGGGCGGATAAGTTGGCACACCCGGCCTGCAGTGTTAATTGGCACGTTATTTACTTTTTCACAACTTTGAGGTCATCAATGTGATATCATGGAAGCCACGCAGGGATATGTGATATCACATGTTCATCGGTATGCAGTATTTTCGTCCAACGACGCCAGACACGCCGGCCTTGGTGTCTCACTATTCGCGGTAAATATTTGGCTTCGGGTCACCTCAGGTGCGTGGGTAGATCGGTTGAGGGGTCGGCTGTGAGACGCCGGGACGTGGGTGGGTGGGCTGTGGGGGAGTGGGGGGTGTCGGCTGTGAGGCGCTGGGACGTGGGTGGGTCTCTGGTCACTGTAAGTTCGTGGGTGGATGGGCGGTGGGCGGCCGGTGCGTCATGTTCCGACTGGCACGAGGCCACGGAGACGGCGGACGACTCAGAAATGTTCAATCCACAGGTTTTTGACCCATGATTGTGCAAGGTGACCTCCGAAGTCCTTGAAAGTATTAAACCTATTACATAAGTAAAAGGGTCATGATTATCATTGGCTTAAGCCAATGATGCACTTCTTTGATGCACGATTTTATGTGCAACTTGAAATGAAAGCCTGGAAGCCTGGAATATTCATATGGCGTTATATAAGCACATAATTGTCTTTTAACCCGCGCCCAGATGGGGTCTGCCGAGCAACGTGGTCTGATGGGGGGGGGGCCATTTTGGCCCCCCCTCTCAGATCTCGAGAACCACGCAACATAGCGACAAGCGGTAAACGGTGTTGGATAGCCCCAACGGGTAACTACCTTGTGACCCAATTTCATTGACCTCGGTCAAACCGATGACGTCACAGGTCAGGTCAAAGGTCAAATTTTCACCGTTTACAGGCATTTCAAGAAATGCGTTGTAAAATCGTGTAAAATGCATTTCATTGAAAATCATCGATGGGGAAATGTTCTTCAAACACATATTTTGCTATTTGAGGTCACTGATACCAGGTCAGGTCACAGAGGTCAGGTCACTGGGGGGGGGGGGGGTCACAATATGAAAGTGTCGTGTGATACATGTTTTATGGTCCATTTTACATGACAAATGCGATTATGTGGGTCAGACAGACTTAAGGGCCAGCTTAGGTCACGTTTTGGTCAAGGTCAGGTCAAGGTCAGGTCAAGGTCAGGTCAAGGTCAGGTCAAGGTCAGGTCAAATTAGGTCAAATTTCAAAGTTGATATTTTTGCATAAAATGGGTATCGATTCGATGCAGCTCGTCACGGGGAGTTCAATGGCGGTCTCCGTTTTGCGCTACGAGCTCTAGAATTGCTAAAAATTGAGTTCAAAAATTTGACGTCATCAATTTTTAACAGTTTTTTCGCTATAACTTGGCCAAAAAAAGAGGTATCGATCTAAAATTTGGTATGTATATCGAAGAGCGCAAGGACTATCACATATATTCCGGTTTTTTTCCAAATTCGAAAAATTTTTTGGAAATTTTTTGAGTTTTTCTAAAAAAATCATTTTTTTATTTTTGGGGGTCAAAATCCCAAAATTTCGAAAATCCGAGATAGCAGTTTTGTAGCGCCGTCTTTTCTCTACACAACCACATAAAGAACTTTGAAATTGCTTGTTAACTGTAGAATTGGTGAGCGTTTCAAGATGTCATGTTTTTTGCTCATTTTTACTCGAACATGACCTCAGTTTGACCTCAATAACTCCTGACCTGAGGTGACCTGTGACTTGAAATTTTGTGTGAAGGTGTCAAATTGATGGCCGGTAAGGTACCCAAAATTTGGCGGCGCTGCGCGCCGCCGTTTTCTCGCTATTTAAGAAAAACCACAGGGGGGGGGGGGGCCAAAATGGCCCCCCCCCCATCAGGGCGCGGGTTAAGCGATCGAAGCATTTGGAAGTAGCGGTACCTGGCGACCGTTAAAAAAAAGCAAATCGATGCAAATTGCAACGTGTCATACTTATAATTTTTATAGTCCATCCCACAATGCACTCATACGAAACTCATTAACTTACATTCACCGACCTTTACGAGACTTACAGCCATGAGCCAACAGTCTCTTTTTTTTTAGGCCGGTGCTTAGATTAACCGACATAACATTGCATATTGCTGGATCGATTTCCGGACGTCTTTCACGTGTTTTATGGTCCAATAAATGTGTCAAGACCATCCGGTTCCTGTGAGAACTGTTCCACCTGGGACTTTGCTTCCCTTCCGACAGGATATGGGATGGGATGGAGAAGGGAAATCGTAATTCAGCGCATATCAAACTCGGTTAGCTTGTACTTTTAAGTCATACAGAAAAGAAAGAAAAGTAGTTCCAATGTCGGCACAATCACTGGAAATCAAGAAACTCAAGATTACCAACCGATATTTATTTTAAAATTACTTTTAAATACACAAAGCTTTCGGTCACATACGACCTTGATCACTGTGTTTCACAATGTTTCACAATTATACAAACTTCGCAAAAATGATACAAAAACCGTCTAAAATTCTTAATGTGAAGCGCATGAAAATTTCCTAGCCTACCGCCAGTTTTGCTGCCCAGGATGATAATGAAATGAACCCACTTCTCGAGTTAAATGTGTCCCGGGTGATGATATGAGCGGCTTCTAACGTTTTTCGTGTCTTCTTTTTTATATTTCTTTCTAATATTCTTGCAATTGATTGATTGCATTTGTCTACACGAAAAACGTTAGAAGCCGCTCATAGGCATCACCCGGGACACATTTAACTCGAGAAGTGTGTTCATTTCATTATCATCCTGGGCAGCAAAACTGGCGGTAGGCTAGGAAATTTTCATGCGCTTCACATTAACCCGCGCCGTGCTGGTGGCCTGAACTTTCCGCCGAGTGCTGGGGGGGGGGGGGGGCGTTTTCACGCCCCCCCGTCTAACTCGGCTCCTGGGCCACGTAGCGACACGCGAAAAGCGGCAATCGAAAGAGCGTCAAAAATAAGGACGAAAACACTTCGGTCATTTTTTGGGTCAGGTCAAAGGTCAGGTCACCAGAGGTCACCAAAGGTAAAATGTAGACTATTTCAACATTTTGGAAACTGCCAACGGCTATCTCCGAAACCGATAGAGCTACAGCGCCGCGGAAAAGCGCATTCGATAGCCCTTTTACAGACCTTTCTGAGTAATGTTCTCAGATTTGACCTCAGGTCAACAGTTTAGCCTCCAGAGGGCAAAAACTCCAAAAATAGCCGTTTTTACGAAAAACGTTTTTTCGTCAATAACTTTTGACTCATAAGCGCCATGATATTACTTTTGCCAGCATCGTGTTCCTCTTGTCGAGACGCGTCGAATGAACTATTCGTTGACCTTGAAAGGTCATTTTGAAAATTTGACCTCAGGTCAAGGTCATGACCTGACCGAAAAGGGTCACGTTGCATATCAGTCGATCCGTATCGTCGAGCTGAACACATCTGACGTGTTTTCACCGCTCTAGCACGTCTCTATCAAAAGTTATAGCCAAAAAACTGCTGGCGACCGTTCATGACCTGAGATGACCTCAGGGGCACACAGAGGGGTCACAGGTGCATTTTTCCTATTCAGTGTGTCATGTTTACCTATGAACCGATGTTTGAGAGCGTTTTGAACGATATTCGTCCAAAAGAGGCGCATTTCAATTTTCTCCCATTGACTTATAATGGAGAGGTCGCAAAATTGACCTGACCTTAGGTCACAGATATCAAAAATCCGAGATATACATTTTATACATACTGTTACTCATATCAATCGCTGAAAGTTTCAAAGTGATCGTTCAGTCGGTGTAGCTATAGCGAGCCTTTGAACTTTTTCTGAGGTAAGGTCACTTGTCGTGACCTGGTGACCTGACCTTGAACGGCCTAGGTCTGAAATTTTCACAACATGTGCGGAAATGATGTAGGAACACGTGTACCAAAAACGGCGGCGCTGCGCGCCGCCGTTTTTGAGATATTTGCGAAAAGCCTGAGGGGGGGGGGCGTAAAAACGCCCCCCCCCAGCACGGCGCGGGTTAAGAATTTTAGACGGTTTTTGTATCATTTTTGCAAAGTTTGTATAATTGTGAAACATTGTGAAACACAGTGATCAAGGTCGTATGTGACCGAAAGCTTTGTGTATTTAAAAGTAATTTTAAAATAAATATCGGTTGGTAATCTTGAGTTTCTTGAGTTGTCGTTATCCAACTGTCATGGATACTTTACAATCACTGCAAAACATTACAAACATAGGCGCGGGAACGGGAGGGGGGGGGGGCACTGGGGGCAGCTTGCCCCACAACTCTGGGGCTGGTGGGGGGGGGGGGGGGGGCGGTGCCCCACAGCTTTTCATAGGGCTAGGAATCGTTGGGACAGCATGTCCTTCCCAAATTAGGGTTTGTGGGTCACAAAGAAAGAAAGCATTTAGGTGAAAAAAATGGGTCCGTATCAAAGCGTCCAAAACCGCAGCACCCAAAGTACGCAACATCCAAAACCGCAGCGTCCATAGTACGCAACGTCCAAAATACGTCCAAAATCGGGTTTATAGGGGGCATTCACAAAGTCCAAAACCGAAAGATCCAAAACCGCACCGTCCAAAAACGTATCATCCAAAAAACGCAACATCCAAAGTACGTAACCTCCAAAACCACAACGTCCAAGACCACGACATCCAAGGCACGCAACATCCAAAACCAACCTAATCTAACCTAACCGAACCTAACCTACTGATTTTTGCCTATCCCTAACCCAACCTAACCTAACCTAACCTAACCTACTGATTTTTGTCTATCCCTAACCCAACCTAACCTAACCTAACCTAACCTAACCTACTGAATTTTGCCTACCGGGGATAAGGAAACCCAACCTAACCTAACCTAACCTTACCTAACCTAACCTAACCTAACCTAACCTACTGATGTATGCCTACCGGGGATAAGGAAACCTAACCTAACCTAGCCTAACCTAACCTAACCTAACCTAACCTAACCTAACGGTTTTGGATGTTGCGTACTTTGGATGTTGCGTACTTTGGATGTTGCGTACTTTGGATGTTGCGTACTTAAGATGTTGCGTACTTTGGATGTTGCGTACTTTGGATGATGCGTCCTTGGATGTTGCGTTTTTGGATTATACGTTTTGGATGTTGCGGTTTTGGATGTTTCGGTTTTGGACGTTGTGAATGCTCCCGGGGTCCGTATCAAAGCGTCCAAAACCGCAGCATCCAAAGTACGCAACATCCAAAACCGCAGCGTCCAAAGTACGCAACGTCCAAAATACGTCCAAAATCGGGTTTATAGGGGGCATTCACAAAGTCCAAAACCGAAACATCCAACACCGCACCGTCCAAAAGCGTATCGTCCAAAAAACGCAACATCCAAAGACGTAACATCCAAAGTACGTAACCTCCAAAACCACAACGTCCAAGACCACGACATCCAAGGCACGCAACATCCAAAACCAACCTAACCTAACCTAACCTAACCAAACCTAACCTAACCTACTGATTTTTGCCTATCCCAAGCCCAACCTAACCTAACCTAACCTAACCTATTGATTTTTGCCTACCGGGGATAAGGAAACCCAACCTAACCTAACCTAACCTAACGTAACCTAACCTAACCTAACCTAACCTAACCTACTGATTTATGCCTACCGGGCATAAGAAAACCTTACCTAACCTAACCTAGCCTAGCCTAACCTAACCTACTGATTTTTGCCTACCGGGGATAAGGAAACCCAGCCTAACCTAACTTACCCTAACCTAACCTAACCTAACCTACTGATTTATGCCTACCGGGGATAAGGAAACCTAACCTAACCTAACCTAACCTAATGGTTTTGGATGTTGCGTACTTTGGATGTTGCGTACTTTGGATGTTGCGTACTTTGGATGATGCGTCCTTGGATGTTGCGTTTTTGGATGATATGTTTTGGATGTTGCGGTTTTGGATGTTTCGGTTTTGGACGTTGTGAATGCTCCCTATATACCCGATTTTGGACGTATTTTGGACGTTGCGTACTTTGGACGCTGCGGTTTTGGATGTTGCGTACTTTGGATGCTGCGGTTTTGGACGCTTTGATGGTCCCCCCCCTATATACCCGATTTTGGACGTATTTTGGACGTTGCGTACTTTGGACGCTGTGGTTTTGGACGTTGCGTACTTTGGATCCTGCGGTTTTGGACGCTTTGATGGTCCCCCAAAAAAATCACCTCTTTCACTGGCTCAGCAACTCATTTGGCGGATTAAAACCTTTATTCCAGGTTGCCAAAACGTTTTTTTTTTAACTCAGCTGAGACGGAATACCTACCTAACCTCTTCGCATATGTTTTCGTTGTTTTTTTTTTTCGTTGAAAAGGCCAAGGACTGAAAACTAAGTGACCTAAAACCAATGGGAAAAGATTTGGGGGTATACTAGGTTGATCTCTATTATGGTGTGCCCCCCACCCTCACCCCCAGTCTGAAAGTAGTTCCAGCGGCACTGTCTACTAATACAAAAAGTGTGGTGGTATAATGTCAGGGTAAATGGAGTACCTAACATTTTCTAGACTTTGAGAAAAGAGTAGGGTCATTGCAGGTGTTGTAAAAGAAAACAAAAAGTACAAAAATGGCTATCAACAATTCTATTAGGCTGTGTAGCATATTCGCCTTTTCATTAGACTTCAATCAAAAGATGCTGCTTTTATAAGTCATAAAACGTACTGCACTTTCCTTATCATCATAGTTTCCAACACAATACCCTATTCCCTTTGTCTCCGGGACGGCTCACCTGCACGCTGGGCACGGTGAACGTGGCCAGTCTCTGAGAGGTGAAGTGCACCTCCGAGTCGGTATACAGCAGGCTGATGTTGGTGTATCCGTCAGCAGCCGGCGTCAGCTGCACCCCCAGCTGCACCACCGTCTCCAGCGGGTTCAGCACGGCGAACAGGAAGCCGCCGTCCGACGAGCGCAGCAGCACCGTCACGGCCACCGCGAACTCGCGCGGCAGACGCTCCGGCAGGAACAGACGGTACGGCCGCTGCCGGAGGGGGGGGGGGTATATCATCAGCAGGAGAAGGGCGGCAGCCGCTCCGGCAGGAACAGACGGTACGGCCGCTGACGAAGGGGGGGGTACCATCAGCGGGGGGTGGGGTACCGTCAGCAGGGGGGGGGGGGGGGAGGACGACAGCCGCTCCGGCAGGAACAGACGGTACGGCCGCTGACGAAGGGGGGAGGGGGGACATCAGCAGTGGGAGGGGTACCATCAGCAGGGGGAGGGCGACAGCCGCTCGGGGAGGAAGAGTCGGTACGGCCGCTGACGAAGGGGGGTACCATCAGCGGGGGGGGGGATACTATCAGCAGGAGGCGGGGGGGGGGGGGGGGGACAGCCGGTACGGCCGCTGACGAAGAGGTAGGGGTATATCATCAGCAGGGGGGGGGGGGCAATCATTATCAAATATGGATGTTTGACATTTCTAAGCCGCTACTCTTGAAAGCGTAATATGTCAACTGGAATGGAGGAATTCTTCCAAAACGCTTATTTTGTGTCATCTAAAAGTCGCATGCAGCATTCCACCGATTTACTTTTATAAAGGGTACAATACAATTAAAAAGAATAGCGCCTGGAGTGGATACTCACCTTGACCTCATGTTCCTTTTTGAAGCCGTACGCAGGAAACCCGTCCTCTCCCTCCACGAAGGCCAGGTTACTCTTCTCGGGAAATGGTACCGGGATGGCGTCCAGCAGGCTGATGATCTTGACTTTTCCTGTCGACAGGCAGACGGCGAGCTGTCACACAGCAGCCGCTAACAGGCCCACTTGTCACGCCGGACAGTCAGACGCAGTGTTGGAAAACACTCAGACGCAGCGCAATTGTCCGACGGCGCCCACCCGAGCACCCACGTCGACACACTAAAATAACGCAACTCATCACCGCGGCCCGTCAAAGCTACAGCGCTTCCATAAACACGCTGAACAGCTTGTGACACGACGGTCGGGGCTGCCGACAGCCACTTGTTTGAGTTTGAGTTGGGCGCACGCGTCGAGACATGGACATTGGGCGGCTGATGGCGCCTGCTCACAGTATCGGACCCACGAGAGCAGACCTACCCGGCACACGTGTGTGAGACAGTCGGCTTCCGTCTGTGAATCGCCGGCGTCACAGCGCAGGTGTGTAATGGAATACGGCGTCTCTGTGTAACGCAGCCCGTCTACTGATCCATGAATATATCTGGCACGCTTGTCATTGAAAGCCAGCAGCGCATGACGTTACCGTCGGTGCATTTGTGCGCTGCTGGATTTGCATTTGAGCGGGTTTCGGAACAACTGGCCGTGGCTTTGGTCATCAGCCAGCATTGTGTTATATAATATAGTCAATATAGATACCTATACGGCAATCCTGACTGGGAGACTCGGGACAGCAAGAACGGTGATTTACGTCGTCGGTACGGGGAGCGGGCCTCCATCTGCCACAGCTGCCCATCGCAAATCGAATTGACAGTATTTGCATATTGTCCCATTTTAACATTGATTGGAAATGAACAGAGTCGTACGGAGCCGACATTACCTTCACTGTGCTATGCGATGTATGACCAAATAAAAGCGTATGTAGGTACTTCTGATGCAATCTTATAACAGATTCTTGAAAGCAATTAATCACTAAAAAGTAAGACATAAGCCATATATTTTCCTTTTAGAAGCAGCGCAAGTGGTGGATAAACATACACGTAATGTTTCCCAGCGTTTAGTTGCTAGACGAGATGAAATTTTATAAATTAATCATTCATTCATTTTTTTCTTACAATGAAATTATTTACTACAGCAGTCAGCAGGTATTCAACAACTGTGGATCAGCAAGAAGAAACAAAAGTGTATCGCGAGTGTATAAAATATTATGTCTTACTTGACCCTCGCCCGTATAGGGGGGGGGTCTAACGGACCTCCCTCAGTTTTTCGCGAATAACTCGCGTAAAAAGCGGCTGATTGCAACGAAACTTTCATTACTCTCGAGCCAATCATTTTTTCACCTGCCCTGTACATATATTTAGAGACTCAGACCAAAATGACCTTTGACCTGTGACCTACATATTTCTCGAGACCATGTTTGGCCGGAATCGCGATTTGGTGAATGACGCTCGCATTAGCCGCTCGTCTTTTTGCGATTTCAAGCGTTCAAACATGTGATATGACGTTGGTCCCATGCATTATGGTGGGTGTCAAGGTCACCTGTAGATCAGGTCAGGCCATTGACCTTTGATGACCTGGGTTCACTTTTTCGAGTTTTACATGTTTCTTGACTAGTTTTTGAGCTGATTTCGAATTTAGAAACCATCTGAACATTTACGAAATAGTTTTGGTGCCTTCATAGCATGTAACGAAGCTGTCAGAGGCGGTTGACACGTATGTACAATGTACATGAATACCCGGCGAGACGCCTATTGGCTGGCCTGATCTGACCTGACCCGACCTTGCCCAAAGGCATGAAGACATCTTAACTGTGATAAAAACATGATATTCGTGATCAGTGCACCGAAAAACCCCATGGCAACCTCACTTTACGATGTTCTAACAGGTCACGATTTTCCCGGCCTTTGGGTCATTGACCTGACCTGGAATGTCAACCAATGGCCTAAAACCTTAAAATTGGGTATCACCGGCTTTCTCTCGTCATGGGCAACACGCTCGCTTTTTCCGCGAAGCTCTACCTCGATCAGGGTCCAAACGTCTAGGGGGTCCAACGACCCCCCCCCCCATACGTTCGAGACTGGCAAAACACCCATACGGGCGAGGGTTAAGTACCATGTCATTGTCTATTGTTCTTACCTATGATTTGATATGCTATATCATGTGTGCCATGAGCCAACACATTGACAACGACACCTACGTTCAATCTCCTTCCCCGTCGCGTGCGATGTAACAGCCCTGCACAATGCACAATACCACAGGCCCGACGGGGGCCGCCACAGCTCGACCTGCAAATCTTGTCCGATCAAGCCCTTCCGAAGGTGCGGCCGTGCCTGCAGATCATGCAGTAGCACCACGTCACTCTCTGCTCGATTGTATTGTGTTGTCCTGTCCGTCCGTGAGTGGATGTCGGGCCGACAGCTGATCAGACAGCGGTCGGAGCGTGTTCTCGGTGTCGGACGGGCGTGGACATGGCTCATGGCTCACAAGGATCACGGTGTGGCACGTCACCCCTAACCAGCTCACGTCACACGGTGGCGCCGCACGTCAGCCTCTGTTTGGCTCACATCACGCCGCGGCACGTCACCTCTGGATGGCTCACATCACGCCGCGGCACGTCACCTCAGGATGCCTCACGCCAAGGCGCGGTGCGTCACCGTCTGACCGGCTCGCGTGATGCGCTGGAAGTCACCCTGTGACATGGTAGCGCGATGTCCCCTCCCACGCACCCCACGCGCTGATGTCACATCAAACTGGGCGCAGCATCCTAGTACGCAGTACCTGGATCGCGAGGCGTCGTCCCGAGCGGCCGCAAACGGCGCGCTCTGGTGTGACATAGTTTCCGGCTAACTGCCGCAGATCCGACCCTATCAGTGGCCCCCCGGGGAACTGGGCTGCCCCCAGACAGCTTCTGTAGCCGCCGATGCAATTGATGAAGTCATCACTGAACGCGGGCGGGCAGAGCCGAGCCCTGAGGGCATTTTTCACCGGCTCTTGGAGCCCGAGGCAGCTCGTAAATCATATTTTAATTTCCTGTCGGTCCGACTGAGGTTCGCGCCACCCCCAGATCGGCCTGGGGGGGGGGGGGGCGATAGGCGGGGGCGTTCGATACTGGGCCAAATACAGAACCTGAACCTGACTTGTAGTGCTCTGCTGTCTGGAACTCCGGCGCTCTGCAGTTTCTCGGCACTCGCCGCGGTTTGGTGTCTCTGGGGCTCGACTAAGACATTTAACAACATAAATATTCTAAGCGCTTATACATTTTGCCTGTGGAAAAGATATTAAAAAAACTTATCAAAACAGCATCGATTCCAGAGGTCCCCAGAAGAGTTAAGGTGGTCCCGAATGTTTCCGAAAATCGCAATCCTGGAAGTTTAATTACTTAACACTTCAAAACACAGATGTGGCAATGCACAAAAAATATTCACTAAGAACTATAAATGCAAGATTGCATTGAAGATAATGGAAAAACATTTTATATCCTGAAAGACTTCTGACGAGTGAGCAATATATATTCCCGACCGGGGCTGGGAAAATGCGTTTTATTCACCGAGGTTTTTGTGCGGAGGACCGAGTGCCGGTAGGCACGAGGTCCGTCATGTAGGGTAGCTTCATTTTTTATGCCCACGCCGCCGTAACCCAGTATAACGCCTTTTGGGGCGACTAACGGAGCGAGCGAGAGGGTGAGCCTTGCACGTGCGAAATTTCGAGGGGGTACCTCCAACTGACTTGTGCACGGCACCCTACTAACCGGTCTCTAGCGATGTGCCAAATTTGAGCACAATCGGCCCAGCCGTTCTCGAGATCTGGAAGCGGCACCCTGCACGTGCGCACGTGCAAAATGGGTCCCAACTGACTTGTGCACGGCACCCTACTAACTGGTCCCTAATCGTGTACCAAATTTGAGCGCCATCGGTCCAGCCGTTCTCGAGATCTGGAAACGACCCCTGCACGTGCGCACGTGCAGCAGCACCCCAACTCTGGCACATGGATATGCAGTGCCTAGTGGGTGCCTATCTACATGCCAACTTTCAGCGCAATCGGCCAAGTAGTTACCGAGATATTGCAACAATTACAAAACTGACACCTCTTCGTTTTGCACGTGGCACGTGCATAAGGGGTCACCCACATGCATCGGGAATAGTCCAATACTTGGTAGAAGGAATGAAGCTACCCTACAAAATTTACCGCATGTAAATCGGTCAAGTGGTTGCTGAGATATAAGCCTCGCAAAAGCCGAGGCTATTCACTAAATCTTTCGTTATTAGTGAAGTGGTAGTAGCAATCACTTTTTCTTTTTATTCATTGCATCACACGTGCAATTACCTAAAAAATGGTACCACACCGATTGCATTCGGTCAAACCGTTTTCAAACGGCACCGATTTTTCCTCCACGAGGCACGAAATCGGTCATTTTTTCACAACAATTGGTCCTGATTTGCACGTGCTGCGCCCAACGTTATAAAACCATATCAATACGCTAGCTTTAGCTCTCTTCTATCGAACCGTGGCAACCGCGTGTCGCTGTGACAACCGGTCGTCAAGATATAAGCCCGGAGAGGAGCACGCGTCGGACCGATTTCGGCTGACGGCGCCGTTTTTCGCGCCCCGTGTTAAACCAATGGCGAGCGTGCCTCGTGCTCGCGACGCCGCCAGAGACGCACCCCTGGTCGGATCGCGCCCAAATTTTGATACGATCGTTCGATTTGACCACGCTTGGTGCCTGCCAAATTTCACGCTCCTACATGGCGCCGTTCCGGCGCAAGACACCCAGATGTCGATGACACTTTTCGTCTGTTACAGACCGACAACTTCTCTTTTGACAACTGGTCGTCAAGATATAGGCCCGGAAAGGGACACGCGTCGGACCGATTTCGGCCAATATCGCCATTTTTCGCGCCCCGTGCTAAACCAATGGCGAGCGTGCCTCGTGCTCGCGACCCTGTCAGAGACGCACCCCTGGTCGGATCGCACCCAGATTTTGATACGATCGTTCGATTTGACCACGCTTGGTGCCTGCCAAATTTCACGCTCCTACATGGCGCCGTTCCGGCGCAAGACACCCAGATGTGGATGACACTTT